TGGTCACAAGTCCACTCTCCAGTTCTTCGAGATCAGCCAATTTGCATCTCATATTTGGGCTACTTCTGTGCCTGGCTTCTCTTATGAAACACAAGGGCTTAACCCATGTTGTCACAAACAAGGCCCAAAGTATTCGACTACGTGCAGGTGCCATACTTTCTTCTGTTCAAAAACTTACTAGGTTGTTTACGTATCTTAGCTATCATGAAGAGCTTCAGTGAGTGGACAGCAGACCTCTTCCGTGCACTGGATTCATTTTCTTTAGGTATCTGAATACCAAGAATGCGTTGCTGGATCATGTTTTAGCTCTATTTGTGTGTGTGGTATTTGGGATCAAACCCAGAGCCTTGCACATGGTAAGTGTGCCCTGGCATGGAGCAACATCCTGTTTTATTTTTTCTTTAAAGATACAAGGTCTTACTGTGCTATCCTCGCTGGCCTTGAGCGACCCTCTGCATTAGCCTCTCGTGTGGTGGGGTATGTGCCACACACTCGACTGGCAGTTTTACTTTTTGTGGGACCTCTACACTGTTCTCCATCATAGCAGTACTAATTTACATTCCAATACTCCAGTTTTCACTTTCCACATGCGTGCCAATACTCTTTGTCTTCTTTATAATTATTCCGTTTTAAATAATTATATGGATGTGAGGTTGCAGCTCACTGTGGTCTAAACATACATTTCCCTCATGACAAGGACTCGCCAGCATTTTTAAAAATCTGCTGCTCATTTGTATGTTCTCTTTTGAGAAATGTGCATTCAAACCCTATGCCCATTTTTCTTTATGTATTTAGTCCAGGGTCTACAGGGTCTCACTACACAGATCGGACTCGTAGTGCTCCTCCTGTTTTCAGCCTCCCACGCACTGGGATTACAGGTACGCATCACCACAGCCAGTCTCAATTGCTGTCTTAGCGCACCCCCGGGGTGGGCCGGCATGGCAGGTCAGGAGTCGAGCCCAGTGCCTGTGTCTGCCTAAGCAGGCTCTCTAATCCACTGGGCTATCTGGCCTATGCCCACTTCTCAATCAGGCTTGTTTACCTGCTGTTGAGTTACTTATGCATTTGGATACTGCCTCATCAGACTGTCTGCAGATACTCCGTTCTGTGGGTTGTCTCTGCATTCTGTCCACTATTTCTGCCACAGTGCAAGCTTTTTACATTGATAAAATCATATTTGTCTGTACTTTTTGGATCCTATAAAAAAATCATTGCTTAGATGACTGACACAGCTTTGCACGTTTTTTTCTAGCAACTTTAGTTTAAGGTGTCTAAGTCTGTAGTCCATGTGGAATTTACTTTTGTACACAGAATGCGATGAGTTTAATCATTCTTCTGCCTGGAGATACCCACATTTTCACTATTTTAATCAAAGGCTTTCCACCACTGTGGCATTCCTATCCTATCGTCTCTGTCCAAAACCAACTGACTGCAAATGTATGGATTTACTTCTGGGATCTCCATTCTGTTCCACTTGGCCTATGTATGTTTTTAACCGAATAGTGAAAGTGTTCCACTTTTGCTACACCCACGACAGTGGAACATGACAGAAACTTTTCTTTTCAAATTCTTCCTTGAATCTTGCTAGGTAACATGATTTTTCATGCTAAAATTAAAAAAAATTACAACCTTCTATATACATTACCGCTTTACTATGGCTTTGTAATATGCGTGTGTCTGAGACAGATCTTGCTGTGATGTCCAGCTGGGTGTGAATTTACAACCCTTCCTGCCTCAGAAGGGGGATTACAGATGTGCACCACTGTGACTGGTTAGTTTCATTGTATTTTCAAGTCAAGAATTGTGAGATTGCAAAGTTGGTTACTGGAGGACTTTCATAGTTTTATACAAACTTGAAGATTTTTTTATTTCAGAAAAAGATGTTGCTGGAATTTTGGTAGGGATTGCATTGATTCTGTAAATTTCTGGGAGTAGTATATTTTAGTAATACCAAAATTTTCCAACCCATTAACTTGGGCTATTTTTCAGTTTTTCTTGTGTTCCTTCAATTTGTTTAATCGTTTTATAGTTTTCATTGTACAGATGTTTTAACTCCTTGGATAGTTTTACCTTGTAGCCATTGTAAGATTTTTTTTTCTTAATTTTCACATAATTGTTAATGTATGGAACGCTAATAATTTCTCATACTGATATTGGCGTCCTGCGATTTTTCTGTCTGCTAGCTTTATGTCTCTTGACAGTGTCACTAGTCCTTTCTACATGTGAAGCCACATTACAGCTGGGAGCACAGCTGGGGCAGAACTTGCCCAGCAAATGCGGATGAGTTCAGTCCCCAGCCCTGCCCGTCCCCCACGACTAAAAGCAGGGACAACTGAACTTGTAACCGGGATCTCTTTCATTGTTCTCTGTCTCATACTTGCTCACTAGTACACTGAACAGAATTGACATCCTCACCTTGTTTCTAATCTTAGAGGAAAATCTTACAGCTTTTCACTGCTGAAAATGTTACTGTGGGCTTGTCACAGATGATTGTGCTTAGGTACATTTCTCCTATACCTAATTTGTTGGAAATAGGTTAAAAGAAGCCCAAGTCTGACATTTAGCTACATTTTCACGCAGTCTTTGTCATTGTTTTTCAAATTGATTTCATTTTGCAGTACAGTACTCTTTCAGGTTGAAGGGTTTTTAAAATTATTTATTTTTATTTTTTTGCGGAACCGGGGATTGAACTCAGGCCCTTGCGCTTGCCAGGGAAGCACTTATTCCACTGAGCCATCTCCCCAGCCCTTTAAAATTATTTTTAAAATATCATTTATTTATTTGGTACAGGGTCTTGCTACACAGATTGGACTCATAATGATCCTCCTGTCCCAGCTCCCCAGTGCTGGGATTATAGGCCTGCACCACCATGCTAGGTTTCAGTGGCACAGGGATCAAACCTGGGTCCTTGCGCTTGCCAGGCAGGTGCCTGAGGAAACTGCCGAGCCATCTCCCCAGTCCAGGTTGAAAGGTTTGGCAGTCTTGGGCATGGTGCTTACCCTGTTTAAGAACAAACTGGCTCAGAGCCCCTGAAGATTTTAGATGGAGACCTAGTGTGGAGGGGGGACTGACCTTTAGACCCCGCCACCAGGAGCAGCAAGACCCTGTGTCAGTGTGGATGGACTGAAGTCTTGGTCATGTTGCCTCCTGACAAGTGACTAATTGGGGCAGGAAGCATGCAGCAGGGTATTTCTGTTTTGGCTGTACTCCAGGGCAGTGCAGAGGGCAAAGGCTCTTGGTCTGTGGGTACTCACCTGAAATACCCAAAACACTGTGGATACTGGAGACGTCCCAGGCCAGGCTACCATTAAACATGCACAGGCCACTGGCTCCCCACACCCAGTGGAGATCCCCAGGTGGCAAACAGTGGCTGTGTCTGGGTCACACTGGTTCTCCCTGGTCCCTGGAGGAGGAAAGGAGTGGGTTTCACTCCCTGGCCTGCTCTTGTTGGGCTCCTGGACTGCGGGACACTAGAGGAGAAACAACTGCTACATTGCAGCTCTCGTCCAGCTGCCGATGTCCACTTCACCCCACGATCTTGGGGTGCCAGCCTCCAGAAGGGACAGGCTGGGTCACGGAGCCCTGGAGAGCTGTGCCCGAGGCCGCCCTTTGGTGCCCGCAGAGTAGGCTGGCCGGCAGGATCCAGCTGCAGCACCTCTGTTGCAGTTTGGAATATAGCGGCATTCTCCCTGGTGAGTCTCAACTGACACCTGACCACAAGGACGGTGGCATTATGCCGCGCCCACCAAGGCCCCTCAGGGAAACATCCTGGTGCTGGAAGCCATCTACTGGACTGCCGAGGCTTCTCTGAACTACACAGCAGTCGGAGACCCTCCCTACCTTGTCTTTCTTCCTCCCCTCTTCTTTCAGGCACCAGAGCTGTGTCATGGGCTATCCTGACTTCTCTGCCCTTCCAATAAGTCCTTTGCACTCTAACCCCACCCCGGCCTGTGCTTCCTGAGGATCCAAAGGAACAGAACTGGACCCAACTGACTGGCTTATTCTCCTGAAATGTAAGGTTTTTTTAAAAAAAGAAATACTCCTAAAATGTGGCCGGGGAATCCCTGAAAAGAAATGCAGTGTCCCACTGGACTGCTACAAAGCAGGCTGAAATCTTATGGGGGCTGCCTAACCTCTTACACTTGACAGGTGGCTGAGGAGGAACTGTCCCGGGAACTGGCCATAACCTAGTTATTTAAAAATATTTATCACTTATTGAGTAATTACCATGTGACAGTAATGTTGGTAAGGACTTTCCATACATTGCTTCATTTGATACGTATATAATTCTTACATGGATCTCCATTTTCAAATAAGGAAATGGGGTTAATGTTGAGCTTGAATTCAAATCAATAACTGCTTGATGCCAAAGCCAAAGCCTTTTAGGCTCTAACAGAAACACAGACACACACAGACGCACACACACACACCTTGAGATACTTATTTAAACTGAGTTTCAAAACTAGCGAAGTCTGTGCACTTGAGAAAACGTAATGGAAACAGAGACATAAAGCCACCGAATAGAACTGGCCTAGACATCTGTAGAGAGAAGCCAAGGCAGGAAGATTCTGCAGGAAGACTTGGAGGCATCCCACTCTGTTCTAATGACATGCTCTTGGACAGTCGCCCTTTCTGAGCTGCAGTTTTTATCTAGTAAACAGTGGCTGGCTAGACGATCTTGAGATTGCACTTCAGCACTAACATGTATTTTTTTCTTGGATAGAACTTTGATTTAGTCATGTTGTACAAACTAAAGCAAAAGGTCTGTTTTCACTAAAACCCATGAGAAGTAAGATGACTTGCTGGGCTCCCAATGTGAAAGGTGCACTTCAAACTTTCCCGAGAAGCAGCGGGCCAAGGTCCCCGGCCGGTCCTCAGCACTGCTCCTGTTCCACCTCCAGGAGAGGCCTCGGGTCCACGCCCAGTGGTCCTTCGGTACAGCCTTTCCAGGAGGAGGGAGACTGGAAGAAGTAATGTAAAAAACTCACTAGTTTACTATGTTAAAAAAAGAAAGATGGCACATTTATTGCTACATAAATGTTATATACATATTGTGTTTTCTGTTACAGCGACAGAAAAAAATTTGAACTTCTTGCTGCTGGATGAAAAGTTTATCAATAATACCTTGCATTTGACACAGGATACAAATCTGTAATAGACCAACAATGGAAACTGGAGAACAAGATGAGAAGCAATTCATCTCGCACGTTAGCTCTTATAATACTCCATAGGTACTACACAGTGTGCTAGACTCCTACTATGATCTTAAAAGGCTATTGTAAATTTCTGATATTAATGAACAGGTTATGGTAATAACCCTACATTTTTACTACCTAATATAATAAAATAAAGTAAGAAACTTTTTACTGAAAACTTTTGATTTCAAAAATCTAGAAAGAGTAATATTTAGAATTCAAGAAATTTTCTTACAAGATTATTGTATAAAAGACTAGCTACAGTGAAAAATAAGCCAAATGTTTTTTCTTTCTATTTTATGAAGGAAAGCTTCTGGGCATACTGCAAAGTCTAATATAGCGAAAAAGACAACAAGCTCTGAAGAAAAAGGCCAGGCAGTACTGTATGTTCACTCACACATCATAAGCAACAACTTTTTTTAGCAGATTAACACTGAAATGAAGAACAAGGCCACAGATAGAGTCTGATGTAACTGGAGAATATATGCAAATTAACGTAACCAAGAAGTCCACTAAGTTCACAAACAGCTGATTCGTTAGGAAATCATCCTGATTGGAGGATCTGAAGTTCTGCCTAAATTGGTTTTGTTCTTTCAAATTAACAGAAATCTTTAAGTTACATAGTGATTTGGGGTCTTTCTTCTGTGTGCTGATTGCCCTTGCTGATGTTGGCTCTGAGAATTACTAAGCCAAGACAACCTTGTTTAGCATGTATTTCTGTCCCAGGTTTGTGGTGGAAGACAGATTTCATGGAAGTTCGAAGTCATTATTATTTCTTAAAAATTACTCTGACGGTTCAGAGAGATGCCCAATGCACAGGGTGAAGATTAAGTGGCAAGTGCTGCTTACTACTAACCCTGCTCAACCTGGGGCAGGGTTGATGGTGTGCAGATGGGGAAATTGCCCACCACCTTTTCCCTGACCATGAGAAGGTGACCCGGTGACCAGTGTCCTGGTCCATCAGGCAGTGAGTTCAGAGTAGTGTGCTTGTTTATCACACTGCCTGCGCCTTTGTGACTTATCTTGTTACATTCACCATAAGCACACCCTGAAAAATCATCTTTGTATTTTAAATGAAATCTGTGCTTATGTACAGCTAACACTTTACAAGCACTATATCATGTAGCACTTACTGCTTGGAAAAGAAAGCAATGTATAAAAAGTAAATCTTTCTGTTGTAATTTATACCTCTTGTTTTATAAGCTTTGCTATGAAACCTAGAAGCCTGGAAAGTCTTGATATTGTTAGGAATAAAGCAATGTTTATTTGGGGTAAAAACCTAGGGCAAAGCTTCCCTTTCAAAATCCCAGCTAGGCTCTGGTCACAGAGGGCCTCTGCTCACCACATGGGTACGTGTGCAAGGCACAGGGGCCTATGGATGATTCGGGACTGTGGCCACAACTACTCAGATTCAGAGATCAAATAAGATACCCGCAAAGAGAAAAGAAACATGAATGAAAAATGAAAGTGAGAAAATGCCATACCAAGTAATATCTTCCTATTTCATGGAACACACTATTCATATGGCAGAAAGGAGAGGAGAGGGCCACACAAGACTTTTCCCTTCCTTTTTAAGACACTCACAGGTGTGCTGGGAATGCTACGGGCCAATGGTTGTCACTGTCCGTTTTCTGCATGGGAACAGTGGTAACAAATGCTGGCATCAGCTGAACATAGCTCAGCTTTCCTCATCAACCTTTTCCCTTTATATGTAGACCTTACAGCTCCATAGAAATAAATAAAATTTGTAGTTACAATGCATTTGTCAATTCAGTTTAGGCACAAGGCAACTTCCACGGTGAGTGGAGTGATCAAGACAGTCTCTGATTGTGCAGAAGCGACACACTGCTTGCAACAAAAGGATAGGCTGCAAACGCCTCACGGGCTGACGTTCTATCTGCCAAGCTTCCTATCTTCACTTCTGATGGAAGTGTTGACCAACTGCTCTGATCAGAGAGGTACATCTGAGTTTCTTGCTTCAAGTGTTTTGTTTTTTCTTCTCCCTCCTGTCAGGTTTGTCTTCAGATAATCTGAGTTGTCCAAGTCCTTATGAGGAGAGGTCACCTTCTATCTAGCCTACTGATAACTCTGGAACTGTAGTGGGGAGAGAACAGTACCAGTTAGTGCTTAGTGGTTACACATGAACACCACCCCTCTCCAAGATACAACAAGCTAGCACTCTTCTTTTACATCTAAGCTTACAACAATCAGTAGTCTGCTAAGTGACTAAGGTATCAGCAGTTCTTCTTTTCCAAAGGAAATATCCATCCCAGGGGAATACTGCTCCCAGGTCCTCAGCAGATACCTGGTGTCTAAAACTGGATAGCTCACACTGCACATGTACATGCTTTTCCCTATACACATGCACCTAGGATAATGTTTATTTGTAATCATTTATTTATTTATTTATTTATTTATTTATTTATTTATTTATTTGGTACAGGGTCTCCCTCTGTAGCTCAGACTCATAGTGATCTTCCAGTCTCAGCCTCCCCAGCACTGGGATTACAGGTATGCGCCACCATGCCTGGTTTTAGTGGCCGGCACAGCATGTGGTACTGGGGCTTGAAACCAGGTCTTTGTGCTAGCCAGGCAGGTGCTTAGACCACTGAGCTATCTCCCCAGCCTGGATAACATTTAATTTACAAACTGGGCACAATGCAATGAAGAACAATACATAACAAACTATGGTAATTATAACAATACACTGTAATGCTTTTGCACTCTGGGGCCTTAGAAGATAAAACAGACTGCTTAAATACAAGCATGCAGCAGTGAGACAGGTGTGTGACAGCCCTGGGAGAGGGGCAGCCCTCCAACCCAGGCGGGACGGAGAGGACTCCTCACACTTCAGAACAGCACATAACTGAACACACGCACACACTGCTTACTTCTGAAATTCCCCAGGTAACGTTTTTGGACCACTGTGGACTGTGACTACCTAAAATCACAGAAAGTGAGGCCTCGAATAAGGGGGGAACATTTAAATACTTTTACCTGGTGCATGGATTAAGATTCTGAAAAGAAGATCATGTGATTAAGAGTCAGAGCTGCGAGGGTCGATGAGAACTGTGGCATGTACACAAACCTGAACTGCGCAGCGCTCACGGCGGCACCGCCTGGGCTGCAAGGTCCTTCACCTGCCATACTCTGCAGTGAGACAGCGCCACGGTGTGCTGCCTGTGCATCCCACCCACCCGCTGGCCCACGGCTCACTCCCATCTTCTCTGCACTCAAGTTTCTGTAGGCAGGGAACACACCACACTGACTCACACTGGCACCAGCTCCTGGTCCATAGGAGGACCTCACTAAAATACTATTAATTTATTAAGAAGAATTTCCCACAAAGACTATGTCTATTTGTGTTCCCCATGTGACACATACTGACCCTGAAAACTCCCACTTGAACCACCTACACTGGAAGAAGTCCAGGAAGAATCTGCACCTCGCTTCCCTACTGAACAACGAACAATACACGCTGCTGCTTTGTTTTGTTTCTCCCTACTTGGTACCAGTGAGTCAAATGCAGGCCTGCCAGGCAGACACTGCCACCGAGCTCTTCCCTGGCCCCACAATACCGTTTAACCACAGAACTACAAGGGGTGGAGAAGCGCCCGCACTACCTGGCCTTATCCCGTAGCCCCCAGGGGCCATGCTGTTACCTAGGCCAGCCTCCCGCTCTGCACACAAGCTGCCTGGTCAGCAGCCCAGGGCACAGTGTGCCTGGCAAGCTTTTGTACTTTTATAACCAGTGGAGCCCAGGTTAGCTCTGAATTCATACCAATCCTCTTGCCTCAGTCTCCCAAATCCTAGGATTACATGTGTGCTCTACCACACCTAGCAAAAGTGAGATCTTGCTATGTAGTTCAGGCTGGCCTCAAACTTTTGGCAATCCTCCTGCTTTAGTGTCTCAAGTCTATGCTTACAGGCATGGCTGCCAGGTCTTGCTCTTACTGGGTTTCATCTGTTTTCTTTTTTTTTAAATTTTATTTATTTGTGTGTGTGTGTGTGTGTGTGTGTGTGTGTGTGTGTGTGTGGCTAGCTCAGCCCACCAGGGGGCGGGCTGGCTGGCATGTGGTGCTGGGAGATTGAACCGCGGTCCCTGTGCTTTGCTAAGCTTGTTCTAAGTAGGTGCTTTAGACCACTGAGCCATCTCACCAGGCCCTCATCTGTTTTCTAGTTCTATAAAGAACTGAAGGTGTAACCACCTTTATGAAATTTACTACCTTCCAATGTATTCTAAAGATCAAAAGAGCAATCTTCCAACAGGCACTGTTCCACCAGGGAGAAGGGAATCGGCTCACTATCTAGAACATCTACACTTGATAACGGGTCCCAGAGGGCAGACAACATGCTCAACAGGTGTGACAGATACTTCTGACCGCAGTGGAGAGCAGTGACTCCGCTTGTCATCAGACCCAGGCTTGCAGCACGAAAATGCCCGAGAAGACATGCAGACTGTGAGTGGGGACAGCCCTGTTTTCTCTCAGACCACACTGACCTTTGTGAGGGTACAGGGTATCCTGTTTCCTTACAAACCCAGGATACTGGCACACTTTAAAAGGAACAGTAATTTGGTACCAAGTGACACAAGTTCTGATTACACAAAAGCAAGGCAAAATATAATATCCCAAATTGCATGTGACCTTCACCAGCATCACTGCCCACTAGAGTTCTGTCCGGAGGGTCTCACCCATCAGAGGATGCATCTTCTCAAACTCACAGCTCACCTGGCTGATGCTTACATATGACCCATAGGGTTGGTAGTTTCACTAAGCCCAGGATGGGCTCCTGGCAGCGTGGCTGGTGGCTCTGCCGATACGGCAGAAACTTTTTCTTCTTCCCTTCTCTTAAGGCAGGCTGCTTTGGGGTTAAGGTTCCTCTCTGAAACAGGAAGAAGAATCACTATCACCATGGTGACTAAGGAAAGAACGAGACGCTGTTGTCTTCAGCAGACTAAGCAGCTGCTCCTTTCTTTCTGTGGGGATCCTCAGGCAGCCTCTGAGAGGGTCCTCGCGCCTACATGCCATCACACAGAGGCACTGCAGGGCTCACAGTCACCAAAACAGATTCACTGGAAGACCAGAAAACAAAACTTAACCCTCTTCTTGTCCATAAATTGTTACCAGAAGAGCTAAATGAGCTGATCTGTGTCTAGAAGAGAAAGTGTGACTACTGACTTAACTCTGAATAAAGCTTTGAGCACAAACTTGAAGACAACAAGAGCAAATGCAGTAGGGACTAGAAATGCTAATGGTACTGAGAACTATGATCTTGAGCTGGAAAGGCTTAAAGCAGATGTGGTTTGACATGTGGGCACCAAAACACAAACTCTGCCCTGGAAAACTCTAATGCTTAGAAGAGAAACCACGCTTTCTTCCTTCTCCACTGGACTGCTGGACCTAGGATTGGCTGCCCCCTGGCATAACCACTCACCCAGGGGTGACAGGTTGGGCTAATCAGAGAAAGTACTGGAACGCCATCCTAGACCAGGAGCCAGAGTTCAGAGGATGCCCTAAGTAGGTCATGTAAACAAAAGTTTGTCTTCACAGAAACTGCTGGACATAGCCGGTGTGGTGGCATGCACCTGCATTCCCAGCACTCTGGGAGGCTGAGGCAGGACAATTACAAGTTCAAGCTCAGCCTGGGTGATTTGTAAGACCCTTTCTCAAAAAAAGGGGGTGGGGTGGGGACACAGCCCAGTATGGAGGCCCTGGATTCAATCCTCAGTACTGGGAAAAGATGCCCCTCCCCCACCACTGGAGCTAAAATCTAGGAAGAAACAGCGGTGACACCTGAATGTGGAAGGGGCTAGCAAAGCTGCAGCTGTGCACAGGCTCTGAGCCTGTCCCACAGCTCTCAGAACACCTTTCCAAGTCTTTCGACAATTCTAGGACCTTCAGATTAAAGATGAAGGTTTTGGCTGCAGGCCCAGAGGAAAAAGGAGGAGAGAAACAGGCTTTTCTGAATACCAAGGCCATCCGAATTGTTATAGTTCAGTAGATCTGTTCAAACTCTATACAGTGAAAGATGCCCTAAATGTTCCTGAAAAGTTTTCAGGAACACAAAGCGCCCCATATCCAACCCTAACATACTGTGGAAAACAAAAGGCACTGTACTGGGCTAAGCCTGAGATGCCCTGCTGAGCAGACAGCAAGACTTGCCTGTCTCAGATGCAGGCAGCAACCTCCACAGCAACTGGCTGTGTGCAGTAAGGGAGGAGGGTGAGCGCCCTGGACTCCTGAGCACGGACGGGTGCCTGCTACTTGCAGGTGTCAGCTCCGACACAAGGAGGAAACCTCTCTGGGAGGCTGGTAATGATTCAAAGAACTGCCACTCCTGCTACAGATGAGTGGGCATCAGCCAGCTTCTTCTGAGCATTTCAAGAAAGGCTGTGCTTCAAGATTAAGTTTCAATTAACATTTCCCTCTACAGATACTTCAGGATTTTATAACATGGCTAGTAACTATTTGGTTTTTAACAGTAGGTTGGTTATCCACAAAAATAAATATACATATGTTAGATATATTGGAGAAGTAGATGGGTGAATGAATTACTACTATCTTTTTCTGAAAGTTTGTTCATGTTCTGATTTTTTTTTTTCCTGTAATCAGTACTGAGAGCTCATGCTGGACTTTCCAGCAGGTGCTGATTCCTGTACTTCTATTAATCTTTGTAAAGTAAGATCTAACACAAACACTCACTAAATAGGAAAGAATTGCTTTCATTGAAGAAAGACTCCGGGTAGGGCCTGGAATCCAGGCCAACATTTAGGAATTCCCTGCATCAGGGCATGAGATAAAGGGTTATAACTCTGATAAGATATAGAGAAATCTACCAGAACATGAGCTTGATGGCAAACCTCTAGGTAGGCAGGAAGCTTCTATTATTTGATGACCAAGGTCTAGGATAGAGCTGGTTGGCCCAGACAAGGCACTGTAAGTGTAGGCTAAATAAAAGAAGTTTCAAGATTTCAGAATTCCATTAACCTTCATGAAAAATATAACAGGGCAGTTGCCTAAATTAGTAGCATGTGAACCTTCACAAAACACACTCTGGCCCTCAGGGACAGACATATATGCAGTGCATCTCAGTCAAGGCCATGGAATTCTGAACCAGCAAAGAAGCCCAAGGCCTGACTGACTTGGCGCTCCGCATGTGGCAAACCTTTGAGAGCCATAGTTAGGCATCCTACTATCCGCAGGGCCTTGCTGGTGTTCTACAGTAGAGTAGATATGGAGCAGCAGAGACGAGGGGGAGGGGAGGAGGAGGACAGGCGTGGGCAGGGAAACCCCACTGCAGTCGGGGAGTGCAGAGCTGCCTGCCTTCCACCCTGTGTGGAGGCTTGCTCAGCTCTGTGGGAAGCAGTGAGCCTACAGATATTTACCAGGACAGTGAGACAGGAGAGAAAACTACAGGGAAAGTGGATCCTGCAGCACCACGGGAGCAGCACTGGGAGGACTTACAAGCGGCCCAAGTTAAGGAACAACTGGAAACAGAAATGTCTGCCCACTTGTTGGCACAGTGGTTATGCATCTCTGCTAGACCTACTCACCTCTGACCTGCTGTTCTAAGCTAAGGATCACGGCCACGGCCTGATGAAGAATAAGGAGTTTTGTCTGGGGCTTTTCACTCTTCAAGTGAAGCTGACACATTCGGCCAAGCTCTTTGAATGCCTCATTAATATCCCGCACACGCAAGCGTTCCCTGGCATTGTTAGCCATTCGCCTTTCCTTCTCCCTTTCTATTTTCTGTTCTGGATTCAGATCTTCATCTTCATTAGTACTACTGGAAAATAAAATAACAACGTTTGTTAACTTCCCTAGAAGAAAGACATGCTGACTATACAACATTACGAAGGACAAAGGTGGAAGCGAAAACTCCTGGGCAGTAGTAACAGCTCCACTTAATATGACTGTATTTCTTCCCAGTCTTTTTTAAAACACACCCATATATAATCATACAGTTCATATTTTAATGCATTTTTCACTGCGTATTTTAGCATGAAGGTATCTCCGCGCTAAGGAAACTCTTCATGAAGTGTCAACCACACAATGCTGCAGAACTTTGGTAGACAACATGTGGGCCGCAGGTCAGCAGCTGTACTGTAAGCCTGTTTAGAAACACAGACTCTCACATGCTACCCCAAACGTAATAACTCACAGTTGCATTTTAACAAGCCTCTTACTGCCTGGCAAGCACACTGAAGTTTAAAGCACTGTCCGAGTACAGGAGGTTTCACACTTTCATCAACCGAGGCTCTTGAGTATCTCGTGGCAGTCAGGCATATTACCAGAAAGAAGAAAAGCTTAAGACACAGACTGAGAGAACCACACCAAAAATGGGCACGTTTTCTAGGTGTGGTGCTGCACACCCGTCACCCCGGCACTAGCAGTGAGTTCAAGGCCAGCCTGCACCATAGAGCAAGAACTTGTCTCAAAAAGGGGCCACTTCCCCTCGATAGAAATATTACCATCAGTGGTGATGACTATGAAATGTGGGAGTTGGAGTAATTTTTGCGCACATACTTTGTATGTATTTATTTCATTTATTTTTCTGCAGTACCAGGGATCAAACTTAGGACCTTGTACATTCAAGTCAGGTGCTTATGCTGCTGAGCTGTCTTCCCAGCCCTGTGATGGACAAACTGGCAAGATAAGTTTAAGACTTTAAAGTGTTCACTATTTTTTGTCTGGTAATTCTAACTTTCAGAAATTCCTACTAAGAATGTAATTAGAGATGTACATGTAAAATTTTTTTCAGGTAATAGCTTTAATGAAAACATGTTATTGTACTTAGATCAATTTGTAATGAGTTTATTATTTCTAACAGTTACTAATAAAGAAAATGCACTCCTCTAAGAAAAAATTTCATAATAGAGAATAATAATTAATATACTGTGTACCATTATTTACTTATTTTTTATTTTTATTTTTTTCTGTATTTTAGGGATGGGTCTACAGGGTGTTCAGGGTCTCACTATTAGATCTGCCTGCTTACAGCCTCCCAAATGCTGGGATTACAGGCGCGTGCTACTATGCCCAGTCTCAATTGCTGTTTCAGTGTGCCCCGGGGCAGGGCGGCATGGCAGGCCCTGGTACTGAACCCTGGCCTCTACAGCTACTTGCAGGTGCTTTCATTCACTAAGCTATTTGGCCGGCCCTCTATTCTTGTTGTAGAAATAAACTGCTAAGCACAGCTTCCCAGAACTCTGAAATCAAGTACAAAGAGAATGGGTGTTTTTCACCTCCTTTCTAGTACTTCATCATTCCACAAAGAATTAAGCATACAGTGGAATCTTACTAGCAAATCAAGAGTTGCACAAATGCATTCTTTTGATAATACAGAGTTGCTGGCTCTTTCACTTCAATGGGGCCTCACATCATCAGGTGCCAAGGCATCCAAACAGGAACCCAGCAGGCTCTCTAGGGACACAAAGATACAGCCTCTGGGTCCACTCGTAGGGAAGCTGGACCAGGGATATGTATTTCTAAATTGTCCAGTGGTCTGTGCAGCTGGTTTGAGAAGCACTGAAAATCACTGAGAAATCAGCCACCTTTTTGAAATCACATAGCTAATTAGTTGGTAGCATAGCAGTGGGAAACCAGGCCAGTGCTCAATAGAAGCAAACCTCTAACACACCAGTATTACCATCATTCTATTAGTTACAGCGACCTTATTCAGCGCTTATAGTAGGCTGTGTACGAAGAGTTTTATATGTCTCTTCAGATTATTTTCTCAAGAATAGGATCATAAAGCCTACTTTTAGAGGACGAAGAACTGGTCTCCAAGAGCTTTGACAGCTTGTTCAAGGTCACTAGTAGGTGATGATGCCCTGATTCAAACCCAAGTGAGCCAAATTTTGTCCAAAGGTGATGCCAATAATTTACTAACTAGTAGTAACCTATTCCACCACTTCTCAGTTTCTGATGAGTTATAATAGTCTGCTTTTGAATCTGAGATTCTACTGGCTCAGTCACACTCACCACACTGCCTGCAGTACTATCACCTGCCTCTTCACAGAGAAAGCTTCCTGACTCCTGATGCGGAAGCAGAGATACATGAGAAGGAAACACACAAATCACTTCCCTTAAAATTCTTTCCAAATAATAAAATTAGCTAAGAGGCTTCAAAAGGAATGGCCTCTGGATTCCATAAAGCTTTTACTTACTTATTTACATTCCTTAGTTAAGTAAAATGAAAGCATCAAAATCTTAAGAATTCATTTTCCCCGAGAAAACAGAATGTCAAAAGACAAGACATCTTAAAGTGTGTGAAGCCACTATTTCAAAGGGGGATACTCAGCAGACTAAATGCCTGCCTAGGCAAAGGCAAGGACTGGGGTTCCATCCCTGCACCACATCCCCCCACCCTGTCGGCCCCACCCCTGGGTGCGATGGTGCACACCTGTAATCCCAGCACTGGGGAGCTTGAAAATAAGAGGATCACTGCGAGTCCAGGCTGTACTACATTCATTTTTTTTTTTAAAAAAGAGGGGGGTGCGGGAGACAACTGGGAAAACAGTTTAGTGTGAAGGCCCTGGGTTCAGTCCTTAGTTTCAGAGAAAAGTACATGAATGGAAGAAGGGACTATGCTACTTCTTTGAGTCATATCTACCATACTCGTTGCAAAATCTGCACCATAATTTAAAACATAATATAATGTTTTAAACATAAGCATCTGTATGTTCTGTGTATATGTAAGTACCTATATGCTGTGTACGAGGAGAAACAGTGTGTATCACAAATATTATTGGGAATCATATTAATTTTAATTAGAATAAAAATCTGAAGAATCTGGAAATTTATATTCGTGCTTAAAAGCAAGGTCAAATCCAGTTCCTAGAAAACTGACAACTTCAGTTCATAGGATTCTTTTTCCTATTTTTACGTATTATTGTTTAAGTGAGGGGCCAGTAAACTTCATACAGGGCCAGTTGGTAAGTATTTTCAGCTTTGCGGGCCATGTGGTTCTTGCAGCAACCACTCAAGTCTGCCAGTGGAAAGCAAAAACTGCTGCAGACAGACAACACAAAAACAAATGGGTGTGGAGGCATGCCAATGAAGCTTTGCCTTAGCCCATGGGCCACAGCTTGTCTACATCTAATTCTAACTATACAAAAGTCTGTAACATAATTAAGTCTTAACATACATTTTTTAGCTGAATGCTTCTAAATGCCTTCACCACATCATTTAACCCACTATTTTCCCTACTACCTCCCTCTGTCTCATGTACTGCAAGCAACTTGAGGCAAGCAATGAAATTCTTTTTTAGTGCCCACTTCGGCAGCACATACACTAAAACTGGAATGACAGAGAAGATCAGTGTGGCCCCTGCACAGGATGATGCGCAAATTCGTGAAGCATTCCATATTTTTTTTTTTTAGTATTTTTTCATCATATTCTGTAGGGACTTAAAGTTCAACATATCAATACTTGATGAAAAATACCTGTTCCATGTTATGCCTAAGATGTTTGATAT